AATTAAAACGGAATTTAGTTTAGGTGTACACCGTATAAAAAGCTTCAAGTTCAGGGGGGTAATGAGTACTTTTGCCTTCTTTCTTCAACCAATCAGACGTTCATAAAACTCTAACTGAATTAGAAATTTTAAATTTTAAATTTCAAATTGTGAAACCTTCTCCCTGTTCTTCGAAAATCCAGTAGAAGTTTGATTCAAAAAATTTTGGAATGCAATTTTGTGAAGATTCGTAATGAATATTTCGAAGAAGAATATTAAAGATGTACACCCCTACTGCTCTGTTTACTATAAACATGATGCATTAACAAATATTTATGCAGTTCCATTGGAACCAATGCCAGACAAAAGTGATTGGTCAGATCCAGAATGTGTTTTGGAAGAAGTAGTCTTGCCACCAAGATACAAAAAAATGCCTGGTAGACCAAGGAAAAAGAGGAAGAAAAATTCAGATGAAAAGCTAACCACCAAAACGAATTGTTGTGGACGTTGTGGACAAGAAGGGCACAATATAAGAACATGTACTTTCTTCTTGAAAGATTCTTGATGGTTACTTTTTAAGAGTTTTTATGCTTCATGTGTGATAATTTTCTGGATATTTTGAATATGCTAATAAGATATTATCATTTGGTGTGATTTTTACTTTATATAAATGTTACAAGAGACAAACTGTTGAATTATACTAAATATATTGAAATTAATTGTTTTATACCAAGTGTAAAATATATTGTATCATGTGTTGGGGTATGTAACAATTAAGTTATCTGATAAGTGATTATGTATCATATACGTTATAGTTCAATTATATTTTGTATCTGATAATATAATATTGTTAGTTGTTATGATTTACATCAATGTTACAAGATTCAATCTGTTAAAGGATACTAAATATATTGAAACTTAATTGTTTTGTACCAATTGTAACATATGTACAAATTTATTATTTGATGATAAAGTGTGTATCATATACATAATAATTTTATGAATATTGAGTATCTGATAATAATATAGTATCAGATGTTGTGATTTACATCAAGGCTACAATATGTTAATAGATACTAAATAAATTGAAAATTACTTGTTGTTTACCAAGTGTAAAATATATAGTATCATATATTCTGTATGTGATGGTTATATTGTATCAGCAGTATTGGTGTATACCATACTTATAAGATACAATTTGTAACAAGTTACTATGTATTAAACTATACATATTGAAACAAAAATTAAAATTGAAATACAAAATTTGACAAAAATCAATTATTCTGTATATACAGTGACATAATTGAATGTGATACAAATATAAATTCTCATAGCCATTTTTATTCTTTTAAGTATCATATAGAGAATTATCCATGACTATGATGCACAATACCAAACCAACCTACATGCCAAATTGTGAATTAAGCAACTATCTTAGATACAGTAATGTTCATTTTATTTGATACTAAATAACAACAAAACATAAGTGGTACACAAATTCCATTATTGTTTATATACAGTGACAAAAAACAACCTACAAAGTAAATGTGATTTGAGTACTTAACTTATATACAGTTCTCTTCACTTTTGATACAATAACAGTTAATAAAAAAAATTCGCAAAAATTATTGTATATGGAAAACAACTGCATATTTCAAAGAGGATACTTAATAAATAAATAAGAAATTATTTATCGTCAGATTAAAAAAAAACAGGGAATACATATATGATAAAAAATGCATACCATGGTTAGTGTTGGTCGATTAATGGGAGGGGCAACCTTTCTACCTCTTTTCTTTGGGGTTTTCGGATCCTTTGATGTAGAAGATGCATGTACTATCTTTACCGATTTTCTCTTGCTAGAACTTTGATTTGTCATGACTGTCGGGTCATGCAACCTTTTAGAACTCAATCTTCCCAATTAGAATCTTCTGAATAAAAAATTAGAGATTTGTTAGATGTTAGATGCATAATGCAAAAGCCAAAACGATGGATACACAATAAAAGAAAAAAAAAAGGCGAAATTACAATGGAGAAGATGAGACAACCTAATTTGAACTCTGAATGCAGTTGAATAGTGATAGGATTCTTTTGAAATTCAAAATGATTTGAATTTGATAACTGAAATTGTAATGGGAGAGATTGAGGGCGAAAATTAGGGAATGGGAAAGGTCTGTTTTGACTTCCAAATAATAAATTATCCGTTAAAGTTGAATTAGGGAAAAAGAAGGGAATTTTGTATTTTAATAAAAGAATAGGAAAATATTGAGAATAGGTAAAGTAATGTTGTGTACTTAAGTAATTTGTCCTAATATGTAACCACAAAATAATAATTTTCATGTGTATCTTTATTAGGCTTGAGTTAAACATTAAGTCCAATACATAGGTCAATCAGATTTGGGCCACAAGTTTCAGCCCATTGAGGGAGGCGAAATAAAATAGAGATATGTTAATCATGTTATCTTTTTCAATCTTATATATACGTGGAAAATGTGGCGTATATTTAATTAATAAAGTGCAAGATATATTAATTTTATTAAGATATTTAGTTAGTCGATCAATTTATTAATGTCAATATAATTGCATTTCATGGCATTATATGAATAAAATACTTTATATATAACGCTTCTACTGATTAAAATTAAACATTGATCTTTAGAAATAATCTTTCTATCTTTACGATTTATGAAATAAGAGTGAGATCATTATGTATTTGACCTTTTTTCAATCACCACTTACAAAATTACACTAATATATTATCGTGTTCAACAGAATTCACTAAAAAATTAACTTAACATATATATTGTCACATATATAAAAATCAGAACTCATTGACTTTAAAATTAAATTCTCCATTTATTTATGGAATAAGGAATTATACACAAAAAATGGTGGGTATAAACACACTTGTGATAACACTTTTGGAAATTTGGAACCAAATACCATATCTAAGATGCCTATAGGGAGAGGATAAATGCCTAACTTTTCATATACTTAATTTTAAGTTTTAATGTATAACATCATACATTACTTTTAGGTCATGTCTAGACAAATGTATTGTCAAAATCTTCAAAACCTTTTTCTTTTTTCTTAACTTAAGCTTTTAGGAGAAGCTTTTTCTTACTTTTCTTTTTCCTCTATTATTATTATTTTTAAAGTCTTTTGCATTAGAAAATAAAAGGTTTAACAAATAAGAAGAGGAGAGAGGCTAGTATTAAAAAAATGCAATTAAGTTATTTGTTTAATAAAAACGTGTGAAGTTTTATTGATTATGTTTCAATCAAATGCTTATAATTTAATTGAAATATATTTAATTTCAACAAATTACAAACTCCCTTCATAATTTTATTACTAAGTATTATTTTTATGCAAACATTTATAGTATGAGATGAGAGAAAAGAAAATGATTGTTAATTCGATGGGATAGTTCTTGCTTTTGGCTAGAATATATTTGATTTGATACGGCGAAAAATATATTCCTGAAAAATAATATTTTTTTTATGAAATACACATTATTATAATAAAAAAAACTAATACTTAGATATTATTATTAATCTTTGATATATAGTAAAACTAAATACCACCAACCAATTGTGTATTTGTGTTTATGTTCTATCCTTGCAATAAATAAATAAATAAATAATAATATTCTACCTCTGCTTTGTAGGATTATCATGTCTTTTATTTGTGTATTTGTGAAAATTGTCAAAGTGGAGAAACAATCATGTCTTTTTTCAATTATTCTTCCATTATCCAATCTTATGGTAAAAATTAAGTGGAATAGGATAAAAAAGATGATGAATAATTGTATTAAAGTGTCTTTTTTTAAATAAAAAAAAAAGATCAACTTTTTCATATTTCATTCAAAGCAAAACATTATGAAAAATTGAAAACATTGCCTATATCATCTTTGCACCTTTTCAAAAGTTTTATTAACAAATTAAATCATAACACATTTATCATCAAGTTATACAAGGTTGTACCATTAGAAGTAAAAAAAGTACAAAAGTTAGAGAACACCCCAAATATTAGAGGATATTGTAATAGTTTAACATCGACATAATTTAATAACTTCGAGTTTGAGCAAGATTTTTTTAAGGATTGGAGGATAAAAGATAATCATTCATCTTACTAGATGAGTTAATTATATTTTGTTCGAATTATATATAAATGTATGTGTGTGTTACGAAAGGTACTAACGAGTCGTTCAATTTGTCACACTAACAAAATAATCATAGCATAAAGTTTTACATAACTAATATTGAAGTAAAGTTTGATTGGCCTAACATAATTTTAATAAACCCTTTAGTTGACTTTAATAAACTCTGCAAGAAAAAAAAAAAAGTTAATAAGAGCAAGAAGATTATTTTATTTAAGAAAAAAAAACTAAAATAATCTGTCCACACCTAATATTCCTCTGTTATATTATTGTAGGATTTTGTAGTAATATCCTAAATCAAGTATGTATATAACATTCAACTTCTCTTTTTTCTTTTTTTTTTTCAATCCAATATCTGATACCTGTTTTGGAGGTTTTTTTAATCTGGATTCACGGTAAAAAATCTTACTTAAAGGTATTCCTACTCTTCACTCGAACTCGGAAGTATTTACCACTCCACTCGAAAGTATAAATAATTAAAATTATCACTAAATCCAAGAGCATGTGAGAGTGTTATGATATGATTAATGAAAGAATAGCTCAGTGCACAAAGTATATAATATTAATTTCATATTGGAACTTGTGACCTATAAGTGAACGAAGATAAATTTATCGTTACTCTTAGAAGTTGTTGTTTGCCATGATGATTATCCAATAAAAAAGATATTGTTCTCCTTTAAAGAAGAGGGGAATATGGTCATGCTCATTGATTGCATTTGGGGTGTAAGCATCTAAATATTAAAGTATAATAAAGTAGAGAGAACAATGTGTTTTTCCTGTTATTAGTAGTGGCCTTCTCATTCACCATCAACTCATCACCAAGTAGACTCTTTTTTTAGCTCCACTTACCCCCACCCCCCCCCTCTCCCCCTACCCCTACCCCTCTCTCAAAATTGTTCTATTCCTACTTTCTTGAATGCTTTGTGTGTCCCACTTTACACATTACACTAAACCCCCCAATTGCCATTTGAATCTCACCTATTCATCATGTCATCAATTATCTACTATTACTCTTCCTTGTATATCTTAATCATTCATTCTACTCTTCAAAATCCATGGCTATTAGTCCAGGTCACTTTTCTTACTAACTTGTATATTTACATATTACTATTTGCATATATACATGTTGTGAACCTCATATAGTCGACCTCAACTTGTTAGGGACTGAGGCGTAGTAGTTGTTATACATGTTGTGAAGCTTATATAGTCGACCTCAACTTGTCAGTGACTGAGGCGTAGTAGTTGTTATACATGTTGTAAAGCTTATATAGTCGACCTCAACCTGTCAGGGACTAGTAGTTGTTATACATGTTGTGAAGCTTATATAGTCGACCTCAACTTGTTAGGGACTGAAGCATGGTAGTTGTTATACATGTTGTGAAGCTTATATAGTCGACCTCAACTTGTTAGGGACTGAGGCGTAGTAGTTATTATACATGCTATTATATAAGTTTCTTGATATTTTTTTGGGTATATTGAACTAAGTTAATTTTGCCTTAGCTTTTAAATGAACTTATGTTAAGGGGATTCAACAGTCTAATATATATATGTGCCTATCATTTAACATACGTATGTCATTTAGTTTTTGTACCTTTGTCGTCCCTCAACCCCTCTCCAATCTTTTCTATCTATCATTAGAAGTAGGACAAGTAATATTCCGGTGAAGGGAATAAAAATTAGTTTAAAGCCTTTATATTTTGACGATCATTTGAGAAATTAACTCCTGGGAAGACTAGTCACTCAGAAATAGTCATTTTGATTCTTTTGTTCTTACTCAGTATGACCATTAATTCTTATTGGTAGCACAAAAAGAAGTGGATACTTCTTGAACTAATTGGTAATATTTTCATTGTGTTGCAGCTTCAAGGCCTATTTCTTTGACATCATATTCTCCGACCTAGACTTGTTTGAGATTGAGGCGTAATTGTTGTTGTTGTTGTTGTTGTTGTTGTTATATAGAGTATCGGAAACAAGGAGAAGGATCAACTGGAAGCTCTCCTCTGGTTGATAGAGAAAATTCAATGTCTACAGCCTTTTCGTTCCGGAATTTTCATTTGAACTTGCTGTTATTCCTACTTTTATGCAGCAATGGTCTCTCCTCAAATGATTATGATGTTGAAGGTATGGAGTTATAGGTTTTGGTTACTGTACCTGTGAAAATTTCATATGCTTGCAAAATAATGTGCTAATAAAATCGCGATAACTGTTATTCTATATTGAAATCATATATCATATATACATCATTTCAGGTCATGCTTTAATTGAGTTGCTGAGGGCTCTGAATGATTCACACAATAGAATCAAAGATTGGAACATTGATTTTGTGACTCCATGTTTCAGTTGGTCTCATGTTACATGTAAAAATGGAAATGTCATATCCCTGTAAGACTAATTCTTTCCTTTCTGTTATAAGTAAATCAAGTAGATTCATATAGTCGACCTCAACTTGTTTAGGACTGAGACGTAACTATTGTTGTAATCAAACAGGAACTTAGCTTCTAATGGATTCTCAGGAACACTTTCACCCTCGATAACCAAATTGAAATTTTTGGTTAGCTTGTAAGTATACTGCACTTTGTATTAAAATTAGAGTTACTAGTAAAAATCACACCTAACGTATCCCGTTTTTTCGAGTTCCCTATCACCAACTATTTATCAAAAACACACCTCAACTATTAGTTGTTCCCTTTTTCCTACCTGAGATATCACCATCGTTCAGGCAGGAAAAATGAAATGTTGCTAATACTCGATGTCTCACGAACCTAGGAAAGTTTTGTGAAGTGTTGCTAAAATGTTAATGGAACTGTGCAGGGATTTACAGAACAATGATCTATCTGGTGCCTTACCTGATTACCTTAGCAGCATGTCAAATCTACAAAACTTGAATCTTGCAAACAATAATTTCAATGGCCCTATTCCACCAGCTTGGGGTCAGCTCTACCAACTTAAATATTTGTAAGTACTTGTTTTTCTTTGTTTCTTTGTTCTCTCCGTTTTCCTAAATCATCAAGGAATGTCACTCGGACTCTTCAAAAATGATGACAGGTTCGTGTCAGGTCCTCCAAAAGCAGTGCATTTTTGGAGGATCCAACACGAGTGTGACAACAGTTTTTGAGAGTCCTAGCAGACCTTAACATAGCTCTTATTAAATAGTTCTTGTAACAAAGTCTTTCTATGATATGTCCTTTTGTCCTGCATCAGGGTCATGAGAGGAAATCACATAACTGGAACTGTTCCAAATTCACTTATAAACATCACAGGCTTAAAAGAACTGTAAGAACTATGTTTACCTTACGGGCGTAATTTACTCTTCGTTTGAAATTTTCAGTTGGATTGAGGCCTATGTTGCTCAGACTCTTCAAAACTACTATAGTATGTGTGTCGGACCCTTCTAAAGGTGGTACCATTTTGGAAAGTCCGAGCAACATAGAATGAGTTGTTATTTGATGTTTTCATTTACTTCTGGTTGTAGTTCTTACTTGTTTTAATTCTTCACAGGGACCTGTCCTCCAATGATCTGACTGGAGGTATCCCACTGCAGTTGTTTTCAATACCAACATACAGGTAATGTCATCATTTATTCTTCTTTCTTGCCAACTTGTTTAGCCTTCCCATTTTGATGTTGAGCTCTCAAAAAGGGCTACTCGATGCACAAAACAGCCATGGGGGTGTGACATAGGCAGTCTACCCTGGTGCTAGCATCAGTAGCTTATTCCACAGCTCGACCTCATGACCTATAGGTCATATGGAGACAACTTTACGTTGCTCCGAGGCTCCCTTCAACTGATAAAAAAATGAAAATTTGCTACTCATGACTGCATTATTCAACTTGAAGCTATTATTATTGACTTAGTTGCTTAACTATGTTGTTTTAACAATCATTCTATACGTCGTAATCAGTTTTTCAGGAACTCATCTTGCTTGTGGCAATAGATTTCAGAAACCCTGTGTTTCTAGTTCCTCTACTCCAGGTTAATAGTCTTGTCACCAATGCATCTTTTAGTTCTTAAATCTTAGCCAACCAAATGATTATTGCTCAAGTGATATTTTTTTCAACAGCTTCTAGCAGAAGACCAAAACTTGAGGTTGCTATTGCTGGTGCAAGTTGTGGTGCATTCCTTCTTCTCTTAGTTGGGGCTATCATCACATATCGTTGTAATTATAAACGTAAACTCAAACAAGATCAATTTTTTGATGTGGAAGGTATATGCTTTACTCCTATTTCTTCAACAGAAAGAGTATATGGTTTTTCTGTACTGAACAAATTTCCTTAATAACTTCAAATGACATCTACTTTTATGGCATTTTAGGTGACGTTGAGCGCAACATTTCATTAGGCCAACTAAGAAGGTTCTCATGGCGCGAACTTCAGATTGCAACGGACAATTTCAGTGAAAGCAACGTTATAGGACAAGGAGGTTTTGGTAAAGTTTACAAGGGCTATCTTTCAGACAACACAAAAGTGGCAGTGAAAAGACTCACTGATTACCACAATCCTGGTGGAGAGGCTGCATTTCTAAGGGAAGTGCAGCTGATTAGTGTTGCAGTTCATCGAAATCTCCTACGTTTGATCGGGTTCTGTACAACCTCTTCTGAGAGAATTCTTGTTTATCCATTTATGCAGAATCTTAGTGTTGCATATCGGTTAAGAGGTATGCCCCTTATCACTCAACCACTTTTTTTGACATTCTTGATACTATTCAGTCTGTTAAGTCTGTGTTTGTGTTTTTTTCCCTCTCTTTTCGACAGATTTAAAACCTGGAGAGAAAGCTCTGGATTGGCCAACGAGGAGACGGATAGCATTTGGAGCAGCACATGGTCTAGAGTACCTACATGAGCATTGTGATCCTAAGATCATTCATAGAGATCTAAAAGCAGCAAACATCCTCCTAGATGATAACTTTGAACCTGTTCTTGGAGATTTTGGACTAGCAAAGCTAGTTGATACAAAACTGACTCATATTACAACTCAAGTTCGCGGAACAATGGGCCACATTGCTCCAGAATACTTGTCTACCGGAAAATCATCTGAGAAAACAGATGTATTTGGATATGGTATTACACTTTTAGAACTTGTAACAGGGCAACGTGCAATTGATTTTTCGCGTCTTGAAGAAGAGGAAGATGTCTTGCTACTGGATCATGTAAGTCCCTACTTCCACACACTTTTCAATTTTTGAAGAGTCAGAGCAACATAACGGATACCTTTTTACTTCTACAGATCAAGAAACTACTAAGAGAGAAAAGGCTAGGTGACATTGTGGATGGAAACATGAAAACTTATGATCCCAAAGAAGTTGAGACAATCCTTCAAGTTGCATTGCTTTGCACCCAAAGTTCACCTGAGGAACGTCCGAAAATGGCAGAAGTAATCACCATGCTAAAGGGTGTAGGTTTAGCTGAAAAATGGGCAGAGTGGGAGCAACTTGAAGAAGTAAGAATTCAACAATTTTCGCTCATGTCGCGACAGTTTATGTGGGCTGAAGACTCAACACATGATCAAGAAGCTATACAATTGTCTCAAGCAAGATAAACAAAAAGAAGATGCAGAGAAATGTATGTATAAGTACTTCTGCAATAAAATTTAAGAGTAGTTTTAGCTTCTGCTGCAGCTATAGCTAGTTATGTAACATGTAAGAGTAATTTTATCATACATCTAGCTAGTTATGTATCATGTAAGAGTAATTTTATCATATACGTATACATAAGGCACTAAGGTGTCTTTTTTTAATTTTACAATGTATATATATATAGAGAGATAGAGAGACCATCTATTACTGAATTTACTCGATTCCTAGCTCATTGTACTAAAATTCCTGCTCGATATTTATATTAAAGTTCCTTCAATTAGCAGTGCATGTGTTGCTATGTATTGCAAGTATAATATAGACTATCCATATGGGATCTATATTGTTTCAAGGATTATTCAGTCCACCTTCAAATATGAGATTTTTACCAATTATTTTTAGTTTACCTAATAATATAATTCTTCTACACTTGGGTCTTACATAGAAATATTAGAGAAAGAAATTGAAAATACATGCATATTAAAGGCCACCTTACATATATAATATCCTTGAGAAAAAAAAGGCCCCTTACATTTACATACTACATATAAGACTAGTCACTAAAAACTTGAACAAAAACAACTTTCATAACATACAATACTAAACTAACAAACTAAACGCAAACAACATTCTTAAAACATTAAAATACTAAACATAGAACCTAAGATTTCAAAACATAAACATAGATGGATAGATCCAATGTTTTCATTTCACCCCAGATCATCGATAAACTCGAGCCCCTAGGGAGAAAATGAAAACACTGAACATACATCACTACAAACATAAAACCCTTTACGACACTTCTAAAAGCTTAAACTATGTTGCTCGGCTCGTCCAAAAATGCTGGTATATTTAGCATTTTTTGGAGGACTCGAGCAACATATAGTTCCAGCAGCTGCTAAAGTTCTAATTAGTCGTGTCACTGGATGAATTAACTGACGGAACTGCAGCCAGATTGCCAATAATCATTGGAGCTGTCAACCTAGATGACCCGTTCCTCGGAGGGGAGAAAACAACTGGAAGATATTCATCAGTGTCACATATAAACTTAGACTGCGAAAAATGCTTCACCAATTGATCCTTGCCCTGAAATTCAATCAAATATCATTAAACAAAAAAGCAACCAACATTACAAAAAATTATGTATCTATATAAAAGACTATACACTAGAAACCCCAAAATGTACACTACAATACTACATTAAATTACGAAACAAACTCAGTTTGTCAAAACGCGCTAATATTTGGGAGTTGAGGAGTGACCAACCATACATTGTTGTATCTCATGTCTTTCATTTAACACTTGTATGGTGTTATGAACATCAACAAACAAGTTTGAAGCGAAACATGTTGAAAGAAAATCAAGAAATGTGAAGTCATTTTTACCTGAATACGAGCCCAAGAAACTACACAAATCTTCCTTGATGAGTAAAAGCCCGTGGGAGTCTCGACACTATTCCATTTGAAGTACCTGAGAACTTTCCTAATCTCTGAAGCAGCACAACCCGACGTGAAATTGACAAAAGCATAGCCTACATTGTTCTTGGTCCTGCATTATCAACACGGTCAATTAACAAAGAATAATGAGTGTGTTAAAGATTTAACTTATATATACCAACACAATATATAGAAATAAAGTAATTAGTCTCACTTATTTTTCAGGTTTCTAATCGTTTCAAGAGGGTCGTTTCGTTTGGAACAAGTATATATCTCATATGGGACTAAAGAACACCAAATTTTCGTACCAATAACAAAACACGCGAAAAATGTAATCCCAAATTTTATACCACAAGTAGCATTCTAAAATTTCATTGTAGAGGTCATTAGTGTATAGAAGCTAAAATATTTTACCTAAAATCCATTGGCAGATAAAGGAAATCATACTCCCAATGATTCACATTGCAGTAATGATCAACAAAAAGCATGAAAGGCTCTCTCCTGTTGAATAAAATCCATTCAAAAAGAGTAGTATTTTTGTCAGAAACTAACAGATTCATAAAAATATACATATACCAAAATTAACAAAAAGAGGAGATAATTAATAATGGAGAATTAAAAGCAAACAAAAATTGCATTTAATACAGTAATCAATCATATATGATGAATACTACGGGCATGCATCACCATAGTAACTGTACATTGGGATATGAACAGACAGTGAAAAAAATTAAAGTCTGGAAAATGCATAGTAACACTAAAGAGTCAGTTAAACTAGAACCCAAATAGGACTGAGACCTATGTGTTGTTCCGACTCTCTAAAAATATTGCCGCACCCGTGTTGAACTCCCAAAAAAAACACTACTTTCGGAGAATCCAACGCGCATTTGTTAAGACATTTCTGAAGAGTTCGAGCAAACATAGATTGAGATTAATGCAATACATGATCATTTCAAGAACCAAATATGAACAAAAACAAGTGCAAAAACCAAAAGTAGCACATAATAGATACTAGAAGTACTTTTTTTCAAGTCTCAATTTCAACATGCAAAGTGCAAACAAATAAAAGAACTGAAAATGGTAAAACAAAAAGGGAAATACTATTGAATGAAGCAATATATCAAGAACAAGTATATGAAAGGTCATGTTCAAATAACAAAAGCAACCCATAATAGATATTTTGCATTCAAATCTCAGTTTCAATTTTCAACATGCAAAAAATGAAATATTATATCATTTCAATAACAAATACATGAAAGGTACAAGTGCAAACAAACAAAACACAAAATGACCCATATTAGATCATTTCAAGAACCAAGTAAATGAAAGTCAAGTACAAAAAACAAAACTAACCCATAATAGATTACTGTACTTAAAACTCAATTTCCACATGTAGAAACCCATATAACATGAAAAAAAGGTTAAACAACATTAAAAAGTTTTAAAGATTTGACCTTCATGTATAAAAAGATAACACATCACAGACCTGAACTGATTGGGTATGTTTCTTATCATAACAGTAGTTTTGTTCCTACTGAAAAAAGTAGCAGAAGATTTGCATGGAGAGATAGAAGAACCAGTTTCTTGCTGTGGCTTCCTCATAAAAAACCCTTTTGGCTTCCAACCACTTTCACCAGCTCTCATCAACCTAGGTGGCAAAAGGGGTTTCTTATTTTTCCAATTTTTCTTCATCCCAACACTAAATATTTCATCTTTACCAACAAAAGACTGATCTTGATGTGTTTTCTCAACCCACATACAATTCTTCTTCACCCCATCACTAAAGATCTCACCTTTTGCAAGAAATGACTGATTTTGAGGTGTTTTTTCAAGTTGATGATAACGATCTCTGTGAATCCAATAAAAGGGAACATTTTGTTGATAGTAGTAGAAATATCCTAAGTGATGATATTGAGGCTGTGAAACATGAAATGGCAGTAATGGTGGCTGATACACAACAAGTTCATTGCCTTGTGGGAGAAAAGGGACTACTTCATTTTCTTTATTAGTTGGTTTAAACACTTCTGCATTAGGATTCAGTACTGCCATAACTACAACAAGAGAGGGAAAAAAATGAACTTTTTCAAGAAAGTAGTAAATGTCACCGTTTATGTAAACTATATATACCACAAATACAGATGGGGTGCGTGGGGGGTTGGTGATTTGGTGGAAGGTTGAGATTATACAAAGAGAAAATCTTTCATGTGTTTTGTTTAAAAAGGTGATGAGTACGTAGTAGACTAGTAGTATCACACTGATCATATAGGTGGAAAACCCCTATAGAGATGTAATCATATCAAGAAGATAGTAGGTGTACAATAGAGAAGTATTAAAAACCTACCTTATCGTTCTCCGTTCTTATATTAGTACGTTTATAATTTGAATAATAAACATACAAGAAAAATAGAATATCGAATAGAGTTATTATGAAATGATAGGAGAAAAGATAAAATATGATTATTAAATAATAATAAAGACAAAACAAGAAAAAAATATTGATGTAACAACGCGATCCTATCAAATTAATTGAACATAAAATGTGTCCTTTCGTTATTAGTTAACGATGGATTCAAACGATACGATACGATACAATAAAATTTAGGCTAAACTCATCGATAACCTTATAAAGTTGACACCAAATTTTATTTAGACACCTCAATTAGGTGATATTCATTTTAGACACCCTATGTAGAATTCTATTGTGTTATTTTGACACTTTTTGCTGATATGTCAAAATGACTGTGATACATCCAACAATAACGCGTAAAAGTCTTAATTTAGTCATCTTTTTATTTTGTTTTCTCTTCTTCTTCTCCATTTTTCAACCCACCATCCCTCACCATTTTTTCAAACTTAAACTCCTGCAATGGAGGTCGAATTTTTTGTTCAAATTTGTTTTTAAGTCATTTTTCTTCTTCTCCATTGTATTTCTTTTCTAAATCTACCATCGCCTCCCTCCACTTTTTGTCGGAAAAATAGATATCAACACCCATCTTTCATATTTATTGTCTCTTTCTTTCTTCCCAAAAAAACAACACTAAAAAAAAAGAAGAAGAATAAATATGAAAAATAGTAAAAGAAAAGAATAATATTTTTAAAAAGCACAAAAGAAATTTTGGGTGTAATGAAAAAAGAGATTTTTTTAGAATAATATTTTTATTTTATTTACTAAATAAATTTTAAAATAAATTTTAACTGAAAATAACACATGTAATCATTTAATTGATTGTTTGTCACGTCATCAATGAGTGTATGTATTACACACTCCTTCACTTTTTTGTTATTGTCAGAAAAGTGTCAAAATAATATAATGGAATTCTACATGAGATGTCTAAAATGAACATCGCTTAATTGAGGTGTCTAAGTAAAACTTGTTATCAACTTTAGGAGGCCGCCGATGAATTTGACCTAGAATTTAAGTAACAATCAAAACAAACATTGTATTTAAGCTTACAATACAATTAAACGAGTAATAACAATTCAAACAAGGTGTAAATGTCACATGACATAGCAAGTTAGTTATAAAAAAAAGATGGTATATTTTTATATTTAGTAATAATTTAATTTTAAAATATTTATTTTACTCTTAATAAAATGAGTTAAAATAACTTATAACCATACAAATACTCTTTGGTTTAAAAAGAATGGTCTACTATTTTTATCTTTTTTGAGTATGTTTCAAAAACAAACTTTCTCCTTTTTTAATAATATTTTAATTTTAATTTTTCACATGACATATTTAAAATTATAAAATTAAAAGACATTTTAATATAATAACTTTATATAACTTTATTTTAAAATTACAAATTCTTTTTTTATTATTTTGTTAATCTCTTTATTAAATTAAACTAAATCACTCTTTTTTAAACCGAAAAAGCCTCCTTATATCACAAATTATAAAAATTCTATTCTTTTTTTAGAAAATAACATAGGAAAGGAAGTGAGTATTAAAGTCCGTTTGAATTGATTTAAAAATTGATCAAATCTATTTTTAAGTCAGTTTTTTACTTTTGAAAGTGTTTGATAAATATAAAAAATAACTTAAAATAAGTCAAAAATGACTTAAAATAAATTACAATGTATTTAACAGGGTAAAAAATAACTTAAAATAAGTCAGAAATCAAAAATAGATCTCCCCTTACTTTTAATTTTTTGAATTAAAAGTCATTTCAATTTAATATTATTATTTTTTAATTTTTAACTTAAAAATTATTATTTCTAAATCAATTTAATTTTTTTAAATCAATCCAAATGGACTCTATTTGTCTTTTATGTTGGGATTGTTGTTATATACATCCAAATAAAACAAAACAAAGAGTATTATAGGGATATATGAGGGGAGGCAAAAGTGTCAGAGAAGAAAAATATACATTCACAAAAAAAGGGGGTGTAAAATCTGTGAAATGATGGAAATAGGCAGATTCAGATACTCTAATTATTACACTTCATTTAATGCCCAATACATTTGGCGGCCAAAAACATTTATCGAGGATTTTCTTGATTAGACCATTATAATAAATCTACTTAAAAAATAATTAGAATTATTATTAGGAGAGATCTCAAATTAAAAATAAAAATATTCAGAATAAAGTAAATGTGATTTTGGTGGAAGATATTGAAAGTGAGATTAATATAGTTTTGAATTTTGGTATATAAAGATATTCTAAAATGTGATTAATTATGACGTAACATACTTTTAATTTATTGAGAAGATAATTTTCAATGAAAATACTTAATAGTGTGTTATCTTATTTATTTTTTCATACTAATAATCGTAGTATTATTCTCATAAATTCATCCTTCAATATTTATTATAATGTCTCATTTGTCCTTGTTCAAAGAATCAAAACTCTTCATTACACAAAAGAAAGTGCATATATAAAGCTTGTATATCTCATTTAAAATCTAATATATCAAATAAATAATCTTAATATTATTCATTTTCCATATTGTAATAGTTAGTAGTCTGTATACTTTATATTATCCAAGGGTCAAACAAGTCCAAAATTATGTAAATAACCACAAACTAGTCCCAGGCCTAAAGAAATACTAATAAGAAGTAAATAGAAATAAGCAAAATGACTTGACTATCACTCTTAAACCTGCACATCAATCAAGGTTTCTCCCTTTTTTTCCTTTCATTTTTATATCAAACTCTCTAATAATGTCTCCCTCCGTCTTAATTTATATAACGATTTAAATTTTGATATCAAAAAGCTCTTTGATTGTGAGATCAAAATAAAAAGATATAACGCTCGAAATCTGAACTATATTATATAGGGAGGAAAGGAGAATGAAAATATCAGTTTACCTTTATAAAGTCACAAAATCATAGTTTCCTTATTTGACTATAAAAACAAGCAACTGTTTTCAAAGATTCACTGTTTGTTGCTTCTACTAAATCACCAAAAACATGCTGTATTGTGACAGTGTTTTTGACAAACCAATTTAATAGTTTTCCTTTTTCCAATAAAAAACACCTACTACTACTATTCATATTTCAATGAAAAAAAAACTACTCCACACTGTTTTAAAAGATTTTGGCCAAATATCCTCTTCTTGTTAACTGTCATTTATCAGACTTTGCTTATTTTTGTTGTTTCTAAGTTTGACCATACCTCTTTTAGCTAACACACCATACCTTATACACTATTTAGGATATCATAATCTGAATTCACAAAGTAGAAAACTGAACTGTTCATTTCTGTACAATCTAACTTTTATATTTGATGCTGGACAAGAAGTTGCCTTTTCTTTTGGACTATATAGTAAAGTTGGTCATGGTTTGATTTTGAAACTTGCTTTTGGGTTTGACTTTTGAAAAGGTGGTTCTAATTGGTTAGTGCAGTAGTTCTGTATCTTTGACTTATAACCAACGAGGGTTATAGTAGAGTGATACATACTCCTTCATCCTAAATTATGGAACTTGCCTTTGTAAAGAAGCGCTTCAATAAGAAAATGAATGAATCGACGACTCTTGAGATACATGAATCCCTTGAACAGAAGAAACCATATAGGTGCATTTCTAATGATTCATTTATCCCAAATTCCCAATTCATAAAGCAGTTATTGCAGTTTCACACAAACATTTGATCCTAACAGCAATAAAATAAAAAGAAATCCACAAAACCTATGTCGATAGAATCTGGTATTTATAGCTACAAAAAGACCTGAGATTGGGAACTTAAGAAACGTGGCAAAGAGGTGATTGACATCTGAAAGCACCAGAGCTCCCCTCTCAAGCCGCTGTTGTCACATTTCCAATTCTCGATTAAGCTACTCGACTCTGAACATTGTAACCAAAGATCCTGAGCAATTACTAAACGTCCTGAAGCAACTCATCATCGTTGCAGGTGCTGAGTTCATCCAAAAACAAGAAGCAATCTTTCTGACCTTTACATTTCATTGATGTTGTACTAAAGCGTAAGTGAAAAATTCAGCTTAGTTAGTTTTCTTCTCGTCTTCTTTCAGTGCTGGAGTATCTGAACTACTGGCAGCTTGATCCACATCTTCCGCAGCAAAACCAAACTCATTCACCCGTTTCTTATCTACTGGATAAACCCATCTCTGATATATGTATATCAAAAATATAAGATCTGCATGGCAAAGGCAGATGAAATATCAGTAACCCAGAGTGAGCTAATGCACAGAATAGAGCCACAGAAACGCATAGAACATTTGTAATGATAGACTTCTAAAACAAGACGGCCACAAAAATTACTGCTCAACATCATCTAAGCTGAGGGCGGATGTAAAAGCTTAAAAGGAACAGTAGCATCCAGGCTCTGTTTATTTACCACTCCTTTCATTTACACAATATTTATGGCAAACTCTAAAGTAAATCCAGCATATGAGCTGTTGCAATTAAAGAACCAAGTTCATCTTTTATAATGGTTAAAGAGCTCGAACTTCTGCAAAAATGTGAATAGTAACCAATATTGAATTCTCTAAAAATTGAAAACACATACTTGGCATCTTAAAAGAATCTGGCATGGATCATTTACCCTTGGATGTTCTTATCTAGCTGGTTACTTGGTTAACCAAGAAAT